GAAGTGGTCATTTAAGTACTATCTGTTCATATGTGAATTAAAACATTAATCTCTTAGATTGTTATTACATGCACACAAATGATTGGATCGGATTTAATAATTATTTAATAAATTAAATTAATCGCTTCGGGAAAGCTCTTGAGCACAAAATAATTATTATATTGTCTCGAGCGAAAGAAAATCAATTTTTCTATGAGTTAAGAAGTGCAGAAAACTGATTATCATTAAATTTCACAAGAGTTTTCGGCTATGCTGTATTAAACACACAGAGTGTAACAAATTCTATACAAGAGGTGTACCATGCACAACTAACTGGCAACTCAACTGGCGCTGCCTTTCACTTTTCACTCAATAAACAGCAAAATTGAAGTCGGGACGCAGTGCTAGCTTTTGTGTAGATTATTTACTCTTGAGTCTAGCCGCACCGCGAGGCTTTTCCTGTCTTTGTTTAAGTTACTTGGACAGATTGAATAGTGCACAAGAATTTAAGTGATAAAGAAAACCATAAAAATTATTCACTTACAAAAAGAAAAGCAACGCAACGCAGTGGAATGCTTATATACAATAAAAACTAGAAAGTGGTCGAGAGTAGTTCCCATTTAATATTTATATTTTCTGTAACCAGGCATTGAAAGTGTTACACATGATTCCCTAAAATATAAAGATTTCAAAACTTATAAATGATATAGTATATACGCTTCTTCTCTACATCCGCCTATATTAATACCACAATCTCTTTTGCTTGCCTAAAATTATTGGAATATGACCTATTCACATGGGTCAGGGTATCTCTTAGTCGGGAGAATAAAATGCTTGTAATACGACCGCCGCCTTATAGGGTAATATTTCAAAAATGCGGAGAACTACCAATTTGTCTGCTTTGACAATTTATATCTACGTCTTTAACCACATAGCTTAATTAATTGATCATGAAAACCTAAATGCAATAAATCGTTGAATTTAATTTATTTGGTTTCCAGTAATGGTAGCCTTTCAATGAACCTAATTGAAAATAGTTTTCGAAAACACAAAAACTTTGCTCTCGTCTCTAATTTCACCAAATATGTTTCTACTTTGTAAATGTTACGTTGCTTTTTGTTTTGTTGTTATTGCTTTTTTATTATATAGTGCGCGTAGGCAGAATATCTTAAAAAGCAATCTAGTCTTGTAACAGTCTTATTCATAGAATATTTTCACAACTACGTACAATATTAAGTATTGATATTCCGAAATATTTTAAAATGATAAATAAGAGCACTTCAATTCTTCATATGAGGGTAGATGGTTTTTATAATATAAAAAATATTGTACGTACCAAATAATTAGTCCAGGCTCTGTCTCTGTTCCATTTATTGCTTTCAGACTCATAACTTATACGTGCTGACAGAGAAAAATATATGACTATCCTCATTAGTAATTTGTATCGTGAATAAACGATTATATTTATAGCGAATACATCAATATACATACTTATATATGTATATATATAATATATACCCTGCACACCTTCTACTTTCGAAAAACTGGAATTGGGCAAGAACGTTTTACACTGAGCTAATTTGGAAACCTTTCGAAAGCCAGTTATTCATTTTAAATTTGTGCTTGCACTTTGGGCTAATTATTCTCCTAAGTCTTAAGTAGTTAGTTAAGCAATGAGCCGCCCGGTTAAAATGCAGTAAAAACAATAAACCTAAAACCTCTCTCTATGTAAAAGAAAAAAAAACTCGAGGAAAATGTTTACCCTAAATGTAAATAAATCAGAAAAAGCAAAAGCCTAAAAAAAAAAAAAGAAATGGAGTGCCCCTGGCTATAATTAAAATAGACAGTTCAAAAAACAAAATAAAAAAAAACAGAAAAGAAAAGTTGTCTGCGTTGTCTGAAAGGCGTTTAAATGCTTCAACCATACACCGCGCACTCACCCAATTTGTAATAGATAGGTGTGTATAAAAGCTTTACGAATATATCTATATAACAGAAAAAGCATTTAAATTTTTGAAAGGAAGACCGCTGAGTATAGTTGAGCGGAATATTCGTGCAACAAACTAAAAACTTCTAATAAACTCAACTTTATCTTTACTATTGTTGAGTGTCCAATCTGGCAACGCCCACAGCTTTCAAAGAATGAGGCTGCAAAGGCGTCGTTCGGCTAATATGCACAGAATGCACATTTTAAGTGAATAAACTTGGCTTACTTGACCCGACAAGGCAGACGATGCTGCTCCGCAATTAGGCAAGGCGTCGCAGAGGGGGGGCACAGCGATGAGCAGAGATGTCTATGAAAGACGGCCAATCTATTTTTAAGCTCGTCCAGTGGGCTGTCCTACAGCAATGTGGGCTACAGTGAACTGTGCAAAGGCGTTGCCGCATGCTGCACTCCATTGGCCCGGGATGGTGTCATGTTGCACTCATAGACCTGCCAGAACTCCCAAGTTATAGTGATTGTTCGGCATAGTAGGTCGTCATCGTCAACGTAAAGTAAAAATAAAAATCAACAATAGCGTATCCAAGAATATTTGTACACTTCCTGTGTTCCACGGAAATGTGTGCCAATTGCTTAAACAGAACGAGAAGCTCAAAAGTATATGAATGCATTTGGTTTTGGACGGAGCCAATTAAAAGTTGATTTAAAAATTGATTTGCTGCCGGCAGCATATCAAGTTTCTCCTAATGCTGATGATGAAAGTGATTCACTATATCCGAACCATAGCCAACCAAATACAACATGCAACATGGTGCACAAGCCAGCCAGCCGTCTGTCAGCCAGTCTCGAAATTTTTTTAATATTTGTGAAGCCGACACTCGGCTTCTAATGGACAGGCTCTAACGGTAACACAGAAAAGCTACACAAAGAAAACCCAAGATTCACTAAAGCGTAACTACTTTGTACATTGGTTAGAGCATGAAAGAGCAATTATTTTCGCCGTGACGAAGATTAAATGCTCTTGTATGTGATACTGTTGCCAACCTCTCATTTCAAGCACTCGAAGGTAGTCTATGTGTTAAAAACATATATATATATATATGAGTATATTAAACAAGTAAGAAAGCTCTAGTCGAGACTGCTCGACTACGAGATCCCCTGAACCCTTGGAGCAATAGATATTTCAATACTTTTTCGCGACTTTCAGCTTACACAAGAAACACACACACACACACACACACACGCACGTACGCACACACAGGTAAACATACACACACACGCATATAGACACACATACACACACACACGCATACAGACACAAACGCATACACACACACACATACACACACACATACACATACAAGCAACCACGCATAAACACGCATGGGCTGCAGTGTGCGCTTACTATGAGAACTTAATTGTTTAATAACTTTTTTTATGGACGTACGATCTTCATGAAACTTTTAGATTATGATTATAACATGAATATGCATGTACTTGCCAAAGCACAAGTCTCTAGTATTTGAAATACGCTTTTTACAAAAGTGAGGGTGAGGGGGTGAATTTAGAGGTGGGGGGTAAATTTTAACAAAAACCGAAATTGTATAAATAAATAATTGTATAAAGCATACATTAAAAATTTGGAGACTCTAGCAATAAAGGTGTAGAAGATATAATTTTATAACTGGGTTTCGATAAGGTTTTTTATCGATAAAAAAAGATCGGGATGAGTTATCGATTTTTAATGATAAACTTGATATGCGCGCTGTAATTACGGACATTTTAAAAAAAATTTGAAGTCTCTAGCTCTTATATCTTCTGAAATCGACGCGTTCATACATACGGACAGACGGACAGACGGACAGGGCCAAATCAACTCAGCTCGTCACCCTGATCAAGAATATATATACTTTGTGGGGTCTGCCACGCCTCCTTCTCCCTGTTACATACATTTCAACAAAACCATTATACCCTGATTTCCCATTGAAAATGGGTTCAGGGTATAAAAAGAAATAATAAAAACTAGAAAGTCAAATATATTATTGAAAACCTTAATCTGTGATTATCTCAGCGTGCAAGCCGTCAAAAGTGCCTTTGTTTCAATCAATATCTTTTATCTGATCAACTGTTACAGACGGGACCAATACAAATTAAACCCAGTTGCCTTTCGCTAAAGATAATATGGGTCTGAGCCGCAGATGTCAATAACTGTGTTGATTTAGATTGTCTTTAAGCGAACGTAAGCAGTCGGAAAACCCTCTACAACTGTTTACCTAGTTTGCCTTTTATTTAGAAAGAGGAAACGCAGTCAATGCATTCTGAATTTTCTAACGACTGCCAGGTACATTGTGACACATAAAACACCTGTAATCTCAGTGACAACTCAAAACAGACTATTTTATTTGTTCGCGTTTCTCTAATATCACACATACTTCTCAATATCTACCACATGATAATATGGGATTATCAATATTTTAAGAATATTTTATCCTGAATTCCCATTGCTTATAGATTCGGTGTATAACAGCAAAGGTAATTTCAATATAAAAATGTTGCTGTTAACATAACATATACCTTAACAGAGAACCTGATGAGCTTTATAGGACTTAGGATGTCGTTCGAAAAAACTCAGCTACCGAAGACGAAACATTAAACTCATTTTGTAATATATATTTTCGCTTATGTTCGTGCATTTTACAGAAGTACTGTTGTCAGTTGTTCTGTTCTCATTCGAGTTATATTTCATAGCTTAAACGGAGAGACAGAGAGAGAGAGAGAGAGTGAGAGAGAAAATGAGAGAGAGCGAGTTATTCGGTCTTAGCTTCAATCAGCTGTACTTTGTTTTTTATTTTGACACGACTCTCAAACAGTGGACGAGTATATACTAGTTTGCATGTGTTAGTGCACATGTATACATATACTTACTAAGCGAACTGTGCTCTCTCCCTTTCTCTCTCTGAGCGAGTGAGTTTGTACTTGCCTTACTCACTGTGAATCGATAAGACTTGGCCGGTGTTCGTGTAGCTGCCGCTGGTGGTGGTAATAAATGCTTTTCACTTTTCCCGATGCACTCCAGTCATCAGCTTCATATTGAAGCGTTCACAACGTCAACGAACGCAGAGCGCAGAGCCAGACAACGTATACAGATAAATGAAAATATAAAGCACTTGGCTTTCATTCCTTGCAATTTATAATAAAGCATTAATCCGACTCCAAATCATATCATTTAAAAATAGCTTGTGTATTCTGAAAGTATTTCAGATTATAAAATACAAAAAGTGAATAATTACTTTGTGAGTTTGTTGTGCTTCCCCTACTCATCTAAAGATAAACAAGATAAACAAAATCAAGAACAATTGAAAATTTGCAAATTGTTATCATAATGTGAGCTTAATTCGAGAATATTCCTTTTGAATTTCCTTCAAAATTATGATATTCGATCCGTGTGCCATTACCACATATATTTATTGATTTTTTCTCAACCGTGCGCACACAGCATCCGTTGCAGGCATCTGCTGCAGCACTTGCAGCATGAGTCATCAACGTGCTGCAGGTTCCTCTCAAAATTTAGCTGTCGTCTCACACAGATTGAATTTGCAAATCTTCCCTCTATACCTTATACTGATTGTGTTCGTGTATCTTTAAGATTTCCGCAGTATAAATACATCAAGCATATATACTTCTATAAAAACCTAAACCGGATAGCGCACATAATATAAAGATTTATAGCATGGCTACCTATGCTGCATTCAAACATGTTGAACTTTACAATGTCGGCAAAGCCAAAAAGAGGTAAGTCTAAAATTTCCAAATTGGTTTCCCCAAATTCCTACGTAAATTTACATATGAACACCAATGCGGTATGGTATGCATGAAAATATGCAGTTTTGTGGTTGTGCAGTAATTTATAGTGCATTCACCTCGGGCTTCCCCCACATGTGGGCATGCAGGCTCTTCAGCCCAGTCTGCTAACTGGCACCAAGAACGTATCTTCATTGGGCCCCGGCTGCCAGCTGCCGCTGCCCGCAGCCGGCCTGGCGCTAAGACTAAGCAGTTCATTGATTTTTCGATTTGCTTTTCAATCCCTGCTTACTTTTTGCATGCAAAAAGCTGCCTGCTTGCCTCTCCAACACCTGGCACTGTCTCTATTTCGAACGTTTCCCTAATTACCCGTCGCCTCGATTCTTTTTTGTTTTGTTGACCATCACTGAGATAATAAAAAGAGCAAGCAAGAAATTCTGTAGTGAAAGGTGCATATCATGGAACAAAGTAGGAAGCATTTTGTGTTTCCCGCCTACTCTCGTCCTGATAATCAATAGTAATGGTCGATTTAACGAGGAATATTATAGAATATCAATTATAGAATTGTAATTTGTTTTTATCTTTAAATGCTGTAAATTAAGCTAATATTACAGTAAGAGTTGTCTATTGATTATCTTTTGGAAGTTCAAGAGAATTTCTTGAAATAAATGTGTTTAGAATCGTTTATTTGTTAATCGTAACTATTTGTCGTTGTAATAGATAAATTGGACCTTTCTTGATAAGCCATTAATGGGATACTTACATTAAAGGACCTCTACTAGCTGAAAGCTAATATTAATGCGTAATAATGCCATACACGTAAAATTAATTTCTCGATCTTTCCACAAAAATCTTTTACAACTAATTGTATAGTTGAATTGTTTTGCTTTGTTGGGATATGTTTATACATATATGTATACATACATATTTTATAATATTCAATCAATATTCAATATCAATCAATATATTACAATCAATAATATTACAACGTAAAAAGTTCGTATTATTTGACAGCTTTAAATAAGTTACTATGGCTCGTTACACTCTACAACTCTGGAGCTAATAAATTTGTTAGGCTTACCTAAAGGGATTAGCTTCAGTATATATGCATGATAAATTGATATATAAAATTCCTTTTCCTATAAAGGAATAAGTAGTTGCTATGCCAACATTATTGATGTGCATATTTAGGACAAACTGGCAAAGTAGTACAAATATAAATGTCTCTTTTGCCAAAAATCGCTATATATATCCGAAAAGTCATGGTTACGCTTGAGTATACCATTTAAATACTGAATATGTATGTATATGTAAAGTAATTCGTCGGATGTATGTGTATATAAGAGGTGATTCTTCTATATATATATGGGCATTCAACATTAAATTGCCGACACATTAGAAGCATGTAACAGGCATTAAGAGCTGCGCATTCTTGAAGTCTTTTCGTACCTTGTTGTACCTGGCGAAAATAGCTGCAATGCCTTGTATACTTAGATGTTTGGTCGATTTTTGTTAAATGATCTGTAACAATTTATAGTAATTTGTTAGAATATATATATTGGTATATACCTACATAGTATGTAATATTTAGTTGGCTTGAAATCAATACGTCTATAAAATGAATGTAAAACTATAATCGCTGAAATATTTATTAGTAAAGGATTATGATATTTAATGGTAAGGAATTAATTAATGTGGTATGCAAAAAAGTAGATGCTGGGCTCGTTCTGATTCACAATCAATAAAGACGATCAGCACGTGAATCTCGTGGCGTATGCTTAAAAGTAATAGCTAGGAAATGTCGATAGCAAAGTTATGTGGTGATATTAGGGAGGTTCTTCAAAATCAGCCTATTATAGGTGAGTAGTAATCAATAAATGCCCCTGGCCTCAAGTCTCATTCAGAACTAACTTGTATAAACTGCATAATGTAGTTGGTGACTTTCACTTAACTGTGAAAGATCTGAATATAAATTCTGAATTTATCCATACCTGCTGATATTCACACTTATGTATGCACATAATTGTTTGGGGTTTGGTGGAGCCAACGTAGTGTGGCAACTTTTCTTTTTCTTTTCGACGTCCATATACTTTCTATGCATATAATCGATAATTATTGATCAGGCGCGCAAAGCACTATCGATAATTGACAATCTTGCTGCATAGCCTGCCAACCGAGCTGAGCTGAGTGAGCATTGCGCATTTTCAGATTCTCTGCGAGCTAAGCAATTAATTGATACTCTACGAGGTATCTCGATGTAAATGACAATGAAGGATTTTTGTATATATCATATTTTATGTATTTAAATACTTTCAATTCATAAATGAAAAACAGGTTTTTTATGTATGTAATAAATATTCCAGGATTCGAGTATGAAATTACACCATTGGGAAAATTCACGATTTAGGTTTTCTTTAAATTATACATCTTGTTGAAGTTAACTTACAATTTATATGGATCAACAGTGGAGTAATTAATTTATCAGTTCATCTGAATGAATCCATATTAAACTTCAGTTCACTTTGCCATCCCCAGGGCTGTGGGTCAGGGTATATGGCAGTCGTTCATATTCGACTTTTTTTCTCTTTTTGATTTTAACACTGATCAATTTTTAACTATTTCCAAACATTCGAAATGCCTGCGCCGGCAATCTATCAAAAGTGCAGCATCGAACAACAGAAACTCTGGTTGAATGCACAGCTGCCGAACTGGCAAAGCACAGGGAAAGTGGCCAGCCCCATCAGCCGAGTCATCAAACGTCAGTTATTGTTTCTGGCATGTCAGGCAATTATAATGGATACATCTAATCAACGTTTTAGGGAAATCAACAAAATCATACAAAGGCATTATAAATAACAAAAACAAAACCAAAATGCAGCAATCGCACTCAATTTTCGTGCTTCAGTTAAAAATTTCATTATGTTTTTGTTTGCGGTTGCACGTTTTAAATGAAACAAAGCAGCAGCAGAGCAGCAGACGCAGCAGCCGCAGCATGGCAACAATAACGGTTTATTTGTTGCGCTCGAGCAGATCACTGCAGCCAATTTAAAGCAACCCAAGCTCAATAAAAACAACAAATGAACTCCAATGAACAATTACTCGGACATTTGTATGTTACAGACGAATGAGCTCAAAGTCGTTATTCATTATTTCTATACTCTATTTTGAAAAAGGGGAAAAGAGTTAATTGGTTTTGTGCAATATCCGCGTGTCGGAAACTTCCGACTTAAAAATTTCTACTTGATTTTCCTATTTGTTACTTAAAAACTGATTTAACAGTAGAGAAATTGACTTTAATCTTCTACTGAAAAATTGTGATTATTGATTTCAATAAACCAATAAGCTGAAACCCAAATAATCTCTATCCCTAAAAGTAAGTGCTTTTCCTTTAACATTTTTTGTTTGTTTTTATCTATCCGTGCTCCAGAAAGTTTTCTTTGTTCTTTGAATTGTTGTTGATTGTCAGAACATTATATTGTAATTTTGACTATACAAACAATTGACTTGATTAATGAAATAATAATTGATAAGAATTCACTATACAAACAATTGACTTGATTAATGAAATAATAATTGATAACAATTCTAAGAGAGTTGTAACTATTTCTCCGTTCTTCAAAGATAGAGAAATGTCGGAGTTGCCAATAAAAAATACTTGTAATACTTATTGAAACTGGTTTTAGTTGTTTGATGAATAACTTAAAGTAACAGATATGTATAAAGCTATAATTATAAAGCTCATTATTATTAATAATTTTGTTCTAAATAGCATAACCATACATAGTATGGTTAATATCAATAATATCAATGTCACATGTTAATATCAATAATAAGTCATATTTTATGTTACTGAAGTGAAGGGACCATAAGAGCCATAAGTTCAATCTTCAATATATATCCTATTTAAATTGCCAATCGAGTGCAAGCGTCGGCCTAATATAAATCGTTGTTGACAGCGTCACTTTTACTTACATCAAACAACTTTTACTTTAAGGTTTTATATAGAAGTGTTTTACCAATATCGCTGAATTTGACTCAATGCAATTTAAGCTTTGTCTCCAATAAACTAGGTAAAAGCTCTAGGCGTCTATTGACTGTCTCCGAGAGCAAGTTTAGCTAGCGCTGGTCGCTGGTGGCATATGAACCATCTGCACAGCGAATACTTACCGGTCAAGTTTATTTTTTACTTTTTTACATTCTCTGGTCAATGGGAAAACATAATTTCAGATTTGCCTCTGAGCTGCGGTGCACATTGAACATTGCACATTGCATATGTGAAAGGCTTTCGAAAGTAAACGGACTTGCACTAACTTTTGCAGCTCCCTCAGCTACTGTATGTTTAGTCTGATAGCTAAGCAATATAATATAAATATAATATAAAGTTTTTCAATATAAAGTTTTTCTCAAGTACCGGTGAAAAAATGTTAAGCTTAAGTTTAATGTAATTTAGTAATTTCCTCACGTTTAAATATTTAAATTTACTATTACATAACCTATAAATAGACTTAACTAACTGACAAATAAATGTTGTACTTCTAGAGTATTGAGGGCCCCTGGTGGAGTGTCAAGTGACATTTTCGGATCCGAGCAGCCTCAAACTCCACGTAACGTCAAAAATCTGATGGCCTCGAATATATTCTCTGCCGACACAGATGCCGCCCAGAAGAACAACGGTAAGTAATGCTTGCTGTGAAAGGCTATAAAAACTTGTACACAAGTGTTGAATAGGCTCGATTTCGCTTTGTTTGATTTTTTTTGTGACATTAAGTTAGAATGTTGTTTTACGAATGCCAATTTTATTACATGAAAATAACTTGTCTGGTGAAATTACCCCTTTGGTGACGCTTGATCCACTTATGATGCTGAAATTTGGTAAATGCTTTGCTTTAAAATTTAACGGAAACATAAAGAAATAAATAGATAGAACGGATAAACTGTAAATAAACGAGAATAGATGCGTATTTAGTAAAAATAATTGGAAAGACTGGGAAGCAGAACTTAGGGGTTCATTTTAGCATTTAGCTTGATATGATTACAGACACCAAAGTTCCTCTTTTATCTCGAATAATCTTTTGACCGTTTTTAATTTTCCGAAATTTGCTGTTGATAGCATAAATTTTGATGGAACATTTCCCGTTTTCCTTTTCTCTCTTTCTTTTTCTATATATCTTTACAGTGCGGCAAGGAGCTCACAGATTCTATTACATTGGTATACAAATAAATATAAATTGTTCGATTTAACAAATCTTTGTTTTTAACTTTGTTATTATTGATTTGTTGTTAATTGTGCAAAATAATCAATTTCAAGATTGTGATTAGTCACAATTTAGAAACGATCCTTCATTACGATCACCTTACTTTCAAGCACGATTCTAATACACCACATCTATGTTACACAGGCATGAGCGGCACAAATTGATCTTCATAAGTCTCTAATGAACCTAAAATTGCAAACACGGAATATAAATCCAATTTGTCCCCTAATATATTTTCTTATATATTACGAACAGAGCTTGATCGTCCTTAGCTAACATTTTATTATATTTTGTGCAAGATTTGAGTTGACAATGTAAACATGTTAACATCGTGTTTATTATTTTGTCTATTTTTGTGTGGGATAACTTATGTAACAACGATTTTACTAACAAATTCGCACTATATAAAACAGGTGAGACACCACGTCGAGGCCAAAAACCAGTTGACTCGTACTCGCGTTTATTCGGCGAACCGGCTCGTCCCATCACACCTAGCAAGAATCACATGAAGAGCAATATTCCCTTTGGACAAAACCCGAATACCGCTCCGTTGATTTCCAAGGGAAATTATAACGGAAAAAGTGGTTCGGTGTCGTCCGCATCATCGTCTGTTTCTTCTTCGACTGAGAATCTTAAAATTAATGGAGGAGTAAGATCGGGTATGATATGCTCTTAGTGTATTTAACCATATGATTAATATCAAAATGTTTTTTTCCTAGAAGGAAATCCCGTTACCGGCGAGGGGTACAAAGCTGGCGGAACCGATTATATCCAGCCAGCTCATCTTAACGGCGGAAGTCAAGTTATCAACAAGAATCGTGTCCCACCCGGCGGTTATTCATCGGGACTCTGGTAATTGAAAATTACAGAGCCTCTCGATAAAAGACAGCATGGTAGATGTGCGCAGTAAATGATGACAGGAGCCTTGCAACAAATATATTCACACCCAAAAATCGGAACCCCTTCTATCTACATACTCAAAACTAGATGTAGCGTTTTAAGTAATAAGAAATTGCAGAAGAGCATCCATATCGATCGATGGGTATCAAGTTAAAACTTGGAAAACCACCACGAATTATACAGCATACGATCCATGTGTATTTAAAAAACGAGACCGCTACGCTACAATAATGCTAACATAACTGCTCAATGCCGGTCTTATCTGCATAACCAAGCCAAGAATCATTACACCACGAACCATTTTAATATTATATCGAAATATTTATTTATTTTCAATATTGCTATATCCAATATTACATATACGTATGTAAACATATGTGCACTATAACATTTTGAATTTCGTTTACTTTACAGTCTAAGCTCATCATACATACAATATATATTGTCACAACCTTACATGAAATCATTCATTTGAAAATGTACTACGATATTATCATTCTAATACTACGATATTAATATATGCCTTGTTCAGTAGGTAACGAAATAAAATTTACATTCATTTCTATGCAAAAATCAATTCTTGACTTATTCAAACTATTGAAACAAACATGGACCCCTTCACATCAAGATATTTTCAACGATCGGAGATCCTTACAGCAGCCTATTCGCTCATCAGATATGACATAAGATATTAGATGAACATTTACAAAAATACGTCGCTCTTCTTCGGAGTGTTATGTTCAGAATATAGTGTTATAGGATCTACATTACGAGTTCGCCATATCTTATCCTCCAGCAGTGTAAGAGAAAGATCAGCTCAGCATATCTCAACTGAGATCAGCATCGCTATAACTCATACTTCGCATATCAAATATACTTTGTCTCAATTGTAAATATTCTTGCAAACTGATTCTATGTTCTACAAAGGACAATTTAGCTTTGCATTAACAACTTATTAGTGTCTCAAGTTTTCTATTGAGTTCTAGTCAAATACATTATCTGCTTTCATATTTATTTCTGTTCGAATGTTCAGAATTTATTTATTTATTTATGTACTCAATATGTTATTACTATATCAATATGTACAATTTACATATATCGTATACTCATTTACGAAAGTAAAATGAGTATATTGTTTTTGTGTAATGCCCGTCTTGAAATATGGAACATATACTCGTGTATATCCTCGGATTGTAAGGTGTTAAAATTTTCCCGATCCGCTGAAATTTGGAATGTATATGCGAGTTGACCGCTCAAGATCAAAATGCTATGGCGGATACATATACGCCCAAAAGAAGCATGGCAAACCTCAAAAGCTCATAACTGTTACAGTTTAAGAAATAGAAGCTTCAAATTTGCATAGTTGAGTTATCAGGAGTTGAGTTATCTGTCGATGACCCTGCTGAAGAGCTGCACACTCGTGTATACTATACGCAGTAAAAGTTTACCTTATTTTTTCGATAACTCATCCGACAACTTATTCTCGAGAATGATCGAAACATTTATTTTGTTTTTTTCAGCTTAATTAGAACACTTTTAGACCTGGAGACTTTAGATTTACTGTGTATATACATTTGATGAATACAAAGATTTTGTAATTTACAGATTTTGGTTACTACGCCCCATTCGCCACCAATTTGTAAAAAACGTATTTCAAGAACTAGAGACTTGTTCTTTGAAATGTACACACCTTTTATCATATGATCCATATGATATGACCATATGATCCCTCTCTGAAAATTTCATAAAGATAGTCCTACTACAAGAGATATTATGCAACAAACAAATTCTCATAACATTGCCCACACCGCAAAGCAGCCCAAGCGCTGCCGCTGCTAACAGCGAAGTCAGCAGGGTGTGTGATTGTATGTGTGCATAAAAGAAGTGCAGAATGATTCGAATATCAGCTTGAGGGCTCAGGGTATCTCCCAGTCGAGTAGTCTTGTCTGAAGCCTTCGTACTTGTTTTACTTATAATTTCAAGTGATAGTTCAAATTTAGTGTGTGCGTTCAGCTTGTTTGACGTTGCAGTTTGCTAAATTTAGATGAATTTTCATATACATATGTACGTTAAAGACATTTGAAATGGTTTTGCCACCTCAATCGATTTCTGTTCCATTTTTAATTATGGGCTGTTTTGTATGTTTTCTCTATTGATAAGGTGTGTGTATGTTTATTTGACGTTTACAGATCGACCCTTTGAAAGAATGCGTCTAAATGAAAATGAGATAACCATAAAATTAGAAACAAATGAGATAAACAGAATATTAGAAAAAAAAATGTAATTTTATAAGATCTAGCATCATATTTCGGGAAATGCTTACAAATTAACGGATGTAACAAAACCATTATAGTATGATTTGCCATATTTAATGGGTTCAGGGTATAAACAAGTAAGAAAGCTCTAGTCGAGACTGTTCGACTACGAGATCGTCTGAACCCTTCGAACAACTTATGTATATTTCAATAATTCTTTGCGTCTTTCTGCTTACACAAGAAATACACACACACACACACTCATAGACAAATATAGGCAGGCACGCATAAGCACGCATTGGCTGCAGTGGTGACTTACTATGGGAATTTAATTGTTTAATAACTTTTATTGTGGATGGACTATCTTCATGAAACTTTCAGATTATAAATAATATGCATGTATTTTTCAAAGCACAAGTCTCTAGTATTTGAAATACGCCGTTTACAAAGTTGATGGTGAAGGGTTGAATATAAAAGTGGGGGGTAAATATTGACAAAAATCGAAATTCTAAAAAGTACATATAAATCTATATTTAAAATTTGGCGACTCTAGCTTTAAAGATGTAGCAGATATAAATTTATTATTTTCCGATAATGTTTTTAATCGATAACAAAATAGCGGGACAAGTTATCGATCGATAATATATATACTTTATGGGGTCTGCCACGCCTCCTTCTGCCTGTTACATACTTTTAACAAAACCATTATATCCAGATTTCCCATTTTCAATGGGTTCAGGGTATTAAAAAAGCGTACATAATTTTCTGCACTGTAATATCTGTTGGCCTTACTTAGTGGTGTAAGTAATTCGGAGTAATTCAGCGTCACACCTCAAAGGTTTGTGTCCTCTCTATGGTACTTGCTGGTTTGAATATCTGAATATAATACCTCGGACGCCCAGTAGGTGGCGCTACTTTGCAATTACGCTCGACTATCGGTATTTCGAAATTCAAGGGACTCTCTTAAAATATTACGAATTATCGAATGTTTTAAATACAAAATATAAAAATATAGAGAAAATAAAAAAACTTCGAATTATTAAGGTTTTTTTTTTAACTGCTGATAGTTTACATATTAGTAATGTACTTATGTTCAAATTAATTAATTTTTGAAAAGAACTCATTTATACGGGTTTGCTTCGAAACATATTGCTGGTGCTCAGACTTTTCAATAATTTTTTATGGAGAAAAACTGCTATAATGCAGCATATATGCTGTTTCATCAGTTTTGTTTTGTAGACGCAACACGCAACCACGCACAATAAAGATAGGTAGTTTCAGGGGAGTCCAAAATTCAAATTCAAAGTTCTTACTAACACGCCAAGAACCTTCGCAAATTTGAATTGTCAAGTGTTTTACCATATGAGTAATTAATTAATTAATTATTAAAGAGATTTTGTAGGGGACTCGTGATTACTTTGAATAAATGAGAGGCTCGAAATAACAAGAGTCGATTGTACAACATTTAAGAGTTTTATGCCTTAATTGCTAATTGCCAGCAGTCATGCTTATTACTCGTGTTTAAATGAATTGAACTATAGATAACAATACTTTGGAAATAAAAATATGGACATTATTGAAAGCGACTAGATATTTATGCGTAATTATATCAGTTAATTTCAAATATGTATAATATAACTGGCACGATTCACATACAGATATACATGTATGTGCATATGTAGAAAAATTATATAAAGTACAAACGAATTTCAAAATCGAAATCAAAATAATATAGCTTATACTCTGAATTCAATGGAATGTTAACTAAAGGTTTAATAGTTTCGTGAAATTAATGTAATAGGTAGAATATATATTCTCAAACAAGACGTCGAGCTGCTTCAATCCATGCATCTAGAGATTTATTGTTTAAAACGTATATATCACTTGCAGTATCATAATGTTAATAATTACTATCTTTTCATCCATTACTCAATCAATTTTCTTTTCATCCTTAAAAATCGATATGTGGCTGCTTTGAAAATATACACAGATATGGCATTTAGAATACCTCACCTCCCACTCGAAAAATAAATCCTAGTCGATCACTCCTATTACTTTTATACCCCGAACCCATTATAAATGAGAAATCAGAATATACTGGTTTTTTTTTCCTACACCTTAAGAGCTAGTGTCTCCAAATTTTAAATGTAGACTCATACGTAGTTTATTAAATTTTGTTTTTTGTTAAAATTAAAAGATTTTGTAATTTACAGATTTTGGATACCACGCCCCTTCAAAAACTAGAGACTTGTGCTCATTCTTCTCTGAAAGTTTCATAAAGATAGTCCTACTACAAGAGAAATTATTCAACAAGTAAATTCTCATAATATTGCCCACACCGCAGTGCAGCCCAAGCGCTGTCGCTGCTAACTGCGCAGTCAGCAGTGCGCGTGATATATGTACGTGCGTGTGGATGCGTGTATATGCATGTGCGCATAAAAGAAATGCAGAATGATTCAAATATCAGCTTGGGGGGCTCAGGCTATCTCCTAGTCGAGTAGTCTCGATTGGAGCCTTTTTCTTGTACTTCTCATAATAAAGGAACAAATCAAAACTACAGTTTTGATACCCGGCATCATTCAACTGTTATCGTCATAAAAACTGTTTCCATAACGAGCCGAATCTTTTTGTTGGGAAAGGATTCAGGATATATATACTTTGGCGGTTTGCCACGCCCCCTATGGTGGCCATATATCCGCCCTAACCTTTTGGTCTTGGGTGGTCAGCCCGAGTATACATACCAAATTTTAGGTCTTTAGCATCAATACTGCTCAAAATATAGCAGAATTTTAAAAATCACTACATCTTCAGGTCCAATTTGCCACGCCCCTAATGAGCATAGACATAGACTACATCTTCAGGTCCGATTTGCCACGCCCCTAATGAGCATAGACATAACATGTTTTCATCTTTCTTTATAGAATCATAACATTTGCTTACGTGCAATTTCAGCGTTCTAGCTATAAAACTCTAGGAGTTGTAATTTTATCCGATTTGCCACACCCCAATTTGGTGATCGACGCGGATCAATATTCAAAATTTCAGCTTTCTAGCTCTTCAACTAACATGATTTCTGGCATATCGGAAAATGTATTTTCCGATTTGCCGCGCCACTATCTCGGGATCGGGAAAATGTTAACACTTTATAAATCGGAAATATATGTATGTGTTCCAAATTTCAAGTCTCTAGCTTCAATAGCGCCGAAATCAACTGCGTTCATACGGACAGACGGACGGACGAACAAGACGGACATTGTACAAACCCAATTCACTTCGCTTTCGTGAATGAGTATAAAAATATATCTACTAATTTTGTTTTTAAGCTAGTTAAGTTACTAGTAACCTCCTTAGGGGTGTGGCATATCGGAAAATACCCTGTAATTTTCTCATTTTTGGAGCGTAAGCATCTAAATTTTACAGCTAGGTTACCGTTACCTTGTTCTAAGAACTAGCCAAAAATGAGGTGTCTACGCCCAGTAGGGCGTGGCAAATCGAGAAAACTGCATTTTCTACAGTATCAGAGCTAAACTTAGCCACTAAATTTCTGATGGGATGTGAATGAGTATTGTGCAGTCGGTAACGCCCGACTAGAACGATCTTACGTGTTCTGATTTAGAATGCACTCAATAAGCACATATTTAATTTTTTATTAATCCGTACACAATCTGAAATATTTCATTTAGTTTCTCAATTCAAGTAATTATTTCTAGCCTCAAGTTTCTAGTAGTTTGCGTGAAAGTTAAACCGCAAAATGGCTGTAGAAGTAGAGGCGGTAGAGGTGTATATGGCTACTTCAGTCTTTCAGTCGTCATCCTGATCGAAAATATATATAAGAGCTCTGCACCATTTTAACAAAAACTTTAAACATTTGCCGTAAACGCACTCGATCGAAGCTCGAATTGAAATTCAGTCGGTGGCAAGCAAAACGTCAACAAGTGGCTTTTAGCTTGGCATTTGGCATGAGCTCAACTCAACTCAACTCAATTTGAGTATGGGGTACGAGTAAGGCAGCTGGAATTTGGAGCTTGTTAATTACGATAAATGGACATCAACATGATGGGCTGGCACTAAAGTCAAAGCACTTCAAGAGCTGACGCTGAGTTCGTCACGCTGGAAGTGACAAAACCAACGACAAATTTACAAATATTTAGTTAGCTTGTAATGTTTATGTTTAATGGGAAATCTCAAGCCAACTAGAGCAGTTAGTCAGCTACATGCCGTATATACGGGGCCTTAACGGCCCTCTGCAAGCCAACAAACAACTGCGAGCTATCAACTGGCATGCGAGTGAGTGAGATAATGGCAATTAAAGTAATGCAAACCAGTTTGCAGTTAACTTATTTTTCGGCAGCCCTGCACACACGCTCACACACATGCACACATGCACACTCGCACACACATGTGGCTTTGTTGCTCCGATCCATAAGTTCCAGTCATAGGCTTTTGTGGGGCCCCTCTGACCTTGATATACATAAATTATTGTTCATATGCCACTGCGACGGCATTTGTGTAAAGCAATCATAACGAAATATTTGTTATTAAAAAATTTTCATGCATATTTTTATAATCGCAATTTGCGCATTGAGATTTTAATTAGGCTAAACTACTTCGTTTTTCTACACTGGCAAAAATATGTTAAGGCTTTGTGGGTGCCTTGACAACATTATATAAATGCTGAACTCGAGTGAAGTCTGCTAACTGGATTTGAAGTGAGTTTCATATGAGTTCAATCATCTAATTAAAACTTGTTGTAAGATATGTTAAAAATATGTTCTTGATCAGTACGACGATCTTCTTAGGTCTGCGTCCCGATTCATCCCTTTACATGAAAGGATGTGGGTTCTAGAAAAATCATGTATCTTTATTTATTTCACGTGCCGTGTGCTTCGTTAATAATTGGCAAGCAGGCAACACCCCCACAAGGCTCCATCCGTAGACTTTTATATTGAGGGTTCCAAAAAAATTTACATTGGTTAGATATACATTCCATTATATGATGGGAAGTATCTAGAAAAATTCCACACGAACACACAGATGGTGAGGCGCCTTATACGAGAAGATATCATATGGTTAGGGGAGTCAACAAAATCTTCTTTCTATCACGATGTTTCGAAAATACCCTTGAATGCGCAATAGTTTAGAGTCGTAAATCCCTGTGAAATAGCAGTTGTCCCCCTCGAATATGGGTAGTCTACTCAGCCTACTGGGGATGTCTCTATCCTACGATGGGGGAACAGCTCCCTTGATGTTGAGTAAATACACACGAGCCAATTTGGTAGCCTATTGTAGTTTTTGTCGTGTTTATTGGTTACACCTAAACTTAATCGCAAATGTGAATTTTGGTGTTTGGCCGAAAGTGCGTTTGGGATTCCTCCAACGGTTCCGTGCGATTCAATGCCTTGGGATGAGTGCAAAATGACGACGGCCTCTGGTTGACAATGCGAAGTGCCACAAAGTGGTCGCCGGGCCTATTTGCATCGTTAAATGGCCTTGGTTGCCGGTTGCTGGATGACGTTTAGATGTGATAAGCCAAATATCTGCCGAAAGTGTTGTTGGTGTTGTGTGCCGGGCGTGGGGCGTTGGGGCCGGAGCTGGGACTCAGTTACATTCCAATTGAGTTAAATGCTATTGCAAATGCCTGCCAATCGGTTCTGTTTCTGTTTCAGGTTTCGTCTAAAAAGAAAGAGAGAAACGTTATTGACCAATGTGATAACGAAGTCCACTAAGGCATTTGCATTACAATTTACAGAGCAGCACTCTGCGTCGCATCGGGCCCCCTGCTCGCGAATCGAATTGGTGGCTGTTGCTTGTCCTTCCGGCAGGAGCGATTGCTGACCGTCAGCCCAACATCTCGGACTCAGCACAAAACACTGAATGAGACGGCCAGCAGAAGTGCAATCCTTTTTATAGGGGATGCCCAGCTGCGAGAGCCTGTTTGGCTGCCTCAGTCGGCGGCGGCGCTCCTTTTACTTTTACTTTTATTTTATTTTATTATACGCTTGCCGAGGAGAAGTATTCTTATTTCATGTAAGCAGAGATTGAATGAACTCTATAAGAATTCATGTGGAGTCTTCTTTGTGTCGTTCATATAAATTAAATATTTATTAAATGTATCTAAAAATAAACAAATTATAAGTTAAAGATAAAATACAATTATATTCTATGTAAATTAAATTATGTATTATATATTATATATGTAGCTATCGTATGTAATCATATCTTTAGATAAATATGAAGAGCTCGAGTCTACTATTCCATACTATATGTAGAAGCTTCCATTAAATCAATTCAAGGGCATTGGAGATTCGGCATGCTGAAGCTGTATCATCATTCTTCTTGCTTTTTTCTGTTTTATCTTTTTTGTTTTTCATTTGATATTTCTTATTGTAGTTTTGTCTGCTCGCATTGTCAGTTCGCATTGTTGTTGGGCTTTTGGTTAGAGCGGTTGATAATAATGATGATGATGAAGTTTGAGAAGGGTTCGGCTGGCCGAGTCGATATATTCGATGTGTGTGCACCTAAAAAACGTGCAATCTTCCACTTGATTGGTCTCGAATTTAGCAGCAACAGAAATCTCTGCTCTGCAAGGGTCCGACTAAAGACGCAGCAGTTGGCTAGTTCCTCGACCTTGGGGCACCCCAACAGAATAGTTCTTCTCTCAGGAAACAGCGAGCAGCAGGTGCACAGCCCTATCTGCTATGGATATCTAGAATCGCTCAACTCCAAATGACTTCAATTGTGGGAAACTAGAGATTTTCGGCTCTAAGCCAATTGTGCACGACTCCCTTGCACGAGATGCTGCAAGCTCGCGTATTTATCATTTCGAAATTGAAGTCATGACCCCCGGCATTCATGGCTGCAGCCTGTCAACCCGGCAGTGGCATATATTTTAAATATGCAATCTCAACTCCTCTGTCTGCCTGTCTGCCTGTCTGCCTGTCTGCCTGCCTACCTGGCTCGCTGGCTGGCTGGCTGGCAGAAAAGTTGAGTCTTGTCCGCAGACTGTCTGACGGATGAGGATCCTACCTAGGGCAGTTCGTTGCACTCCCGTGGCGAGTGAAAGCAACAGCCACCGCGTCCTTAAAAGAACTTCAAACAAAAGTCCAGCCAACGCCAGACTACAGGACACGAATTGCAGCCCAAGCACTACGACTTCGATTCTTTTATGCATCTTAATGTCTGTGAAGTTTCTCCGTTGCTTCGGCTGGCTGACAAACAAGTTATGAACTCACATACACACACTCACACATAGACACACATACAATAAAGGAGGTAGTTAAACAGGATAATAGTGCGCAGAATGTGAACGACCTTACCAATTATCAACAACTGCAATTGGAATTGCGTGTCCAAGTAAATGCCATTCATATAAGTCTCATTGCTTATTTGAATTTCCAACACTCGGCACCTAAAGCCGCTGAGTGTATCAAATGATATATGTAAATTTCATAATTTCTTGAAAAGCAGAAGCTGTCTTGAATTTATATAAATATGTATGTATATACATATATATGCGCTCTATTAAACATATTTCTGATACATGCATGCATAGAAAATTACTCACCAAATCTCGTAGAGTAACGAAGCTGTTGAGGCTTAAATACAAATTCTTATTATATATGTAATCCTTATGATTAAAATATCTGCTGTTTCTTTATCAATGCATAATAAACATAACCTAAGGACCTTCGTCAAAATTCCATAACGCAAAAATTAAAGTAATAATATTCTTTTGTTTATATCCATGCATGCATTATTTTATTGATGTCAATAAATAAATATACAGTAATATGAGCAACGATTCTAATTATGAGCTTTAAGAAAACTTCATCACTTCATCATTAGTGATAGGCGACGGCTGGAGAGGAGTAAGTGGCGTAGTGGGCCGCAGGTGCAGCATAGTGAGCAACTGGAGCGACGGTCTTGACCACAGCAGGAGACGCATAGTGGACAGCTGGAGCAGCATAGTGGACAGCTGGAGCAGCATAGTGGGTAGCTGGAGCAGCATAGGTGGAGTAAGCAGGACCCACAGTCTTGACCACAGCCGGAGCAGCATAGGTGGAGTAAGCGGGAGCAACAGTCTTGATGACAGCAGGAGCAGCATAGGCGGAGTAAGCGGGAGCAACAGTCTTGACCACAGGAGGGGCAGCATAGTGGGCAACTGGGGCGGCGGCGACGGCCTTGACGAGGGGTTCGCGGTTGACCACAGCGTTGAAGCCGTTGATGGGATCGGCGGTGTACTGGACGGTGCGCTTGTAGCCATCGGCATCCACCAGCGAGTACTCGCCGCGGACCACATCGCCGTCGCGCTCCTCCACCTGGCCCTTGGAGTCGCCAGTCAGCTTATCGTCGACGCCGTACGAGAAACGGTACTGGGGATGGGGATCGTAGGTCTCGTCGGACTTGACCACCACCTTCTGGGCCACAGCCAAGGGGGCGCCGTAGGTGGCCACTGGAGCAGCGGGCACGTAGCCAGCGCTGGCCACCGCGACGAAGGCGAGTGCGAAAACAAACTGGAGAATAGCGAGATAATCCATTAGTACATTTTATATATGTGGGCATCCATTGAGCAGTCGTACTCACCTTGAATGCCATGTTGCTGTTTTGGGAGTTGGTTGAGTTCTTTACAGAAGTGAACTTGATTTGCGAATGATACATTTCTGGGCGTAAGCCTTAACTTATATAGCGAATAGTCGTCGCAGCAGCGCAGCTGCGAGTGAGCGTTGTATTTTCATGGTGACAGCAACGCTTTAGTGCTTACGCCGTTGATTGGTGGCTGGCTGGCTGTGGATTGCTGCTACTTCCTGTTCGAAGGCACTGTGGGTGTGCTTATAATAATCACGTTTGATCTACGAGAACCGTGGCCAAAAAGAGAGAGATTCCGCTCGAACGGGAATGGCACACGCGCAGAGCTTATGCGCAGATAAGGCAGAGCTTAACGGTGCTTTACACTCATACACTTCTTATACTCTCATACATACTTCTTAGACACGAGCATTAGATGAAATTAAATATAAGAAATGTCGCTGAGTTATCAGAATATCTTAATGATGATTACCAATTGAAATCAAACTCCGAATTCATAGTTTAAAAATTATTTCTACGAATGTCAAAATTAAAATTACAATTAAATTGAGTCCTATAAGAATTTAGTTTACGTACAATACATACGTAAGGACATCTCTACATATATGTATATATGTAAATGTGTACAAAATAAAAATAAATATGAAATATTTCAGACTTTTAACTTCTATATTAAATATTATCATCATAGTATCATCATCATCAACTTAAGATGATATTCTCTGTAACCCACAAAATAAATGTTATGGAACCTTAAAAATGTGATAATTTAATTGTATTACTTGGAACAGGCAGTCTTAACCCAACTCATTTAAATGTTAGCTTAGTAAAAATGTATTCACTGTTCATAATTACAAGTGACATAAAACAGAGCTACTCAGGCCACACCTAAATAAAGCTGGCAATTGTAACCATTAAATTACTCTTAAGAAATAAATTTGGCAATTTGTGTAGAGTGTAAAAATGTCTTATAGAGCTACCTACCAGCCTGAGCATATATTTGCGGCCAGCTTTTAGAATGTACATGCAAAGTTCAAGGACAGATCTACTGTAATAAGCATCCCATTAAATTTTCTTTTCAATTGTAAACCTGATAATGTTTCTCATGAGCAGATGTAATTTGGATGCAATTTACAAATTGTCTGCAGATGCGCATTGCTTGAGATGATTTTATGGTTAAAGGAAGATCCCAAATCCTTTCTAAATAATTTACCATTTTCGATTGCATTCGCTCTCGCTGCCGCCGCTGCTGTTCCCGCGGCCTCTGTCGAGGCCTCAGCGGCAGAGGCTGCTGCTGTGCAGCTTGACAATCTCTTCGGCTACTGGCCAGCTGGCCGATTTCGGCGTGGTGACTGCGCTAATTTCGAACATGATATGCAGAAGGCCACATTTAAGCAAATTACGATTACCGCTATGCAGACATAATCAAATCGGCTACCAGAGTTCAGCTGTGCGACAACCTATAAATACCTTTTTCATTCCAGAAGCAATATCATTCGACATTTGCTCTTGCCTCTGCAAAGAACTTAACCAACTCCCAAAACAGCAACATGGCATTCAAGGTGAGTACGACTGCTCAATGGATGCCCACATATATAGTATATACTAATGGATTATCTCGCTGTTCTCCAGTTTGTTTTCGCACTCGCCTTCGTCGCGGTGGCCAGCGCTGGCTACGTGCCCGCTGCTCCAGTGGCCACCTACGGCGCCCCCGTGGCTGTGGCCCAGAAGGTGGTGGTCAAGTCCGACGAGACCTACGATCCCCATCCCCAGTACCGTTTCTCGTACGGCGTCGACGATAAGCTGACTGGCGACTCCAAGGGCCAGGTGGAGGAGCGCGACGGCGATGTGGTCCGCGGCGAGTACTCGCTGGTGGATGCCGATGGCTACAAGCGCACCGTCCAGTACACCGCCGATCCCATCAACGGCTTCAACGCTGTGGTCAACCGCGAACCCCTCGTCAAGGCCGTCGCCGCCGCCACAGTTGCCCACTATGCTGCTCCTGCTGTCGTCAAGACTGTCGCCCCCGCTTACCACACCTATGCTGCCCCTGCTCCAGTCGCCCACTATGCTGCTCCAGCTGTCCACTATGCTGCTCCTGCTGTGGTCAAGACCGTCGCTCCAGTTGCTCACTACGCTGCTCCTGCTGCCCACTACGCGACCTACTCCGCGCCGTCCGTCACCTACCATCACTAAAGTCTCAAGAGCTTGTTGCTGTTTGATATGGTATCGTTGTTCGTTTTACTGTATACTTATTTATTGAGCTCCACAATAAAGTAGTTCATATATCAGATATCGATTATCGATTTCTAGTTACTTTCTCTACTAGCTTAGACTTACGGATTTGGTGTAAAGAACCAGTCTCTTTTCTCTGATTTTAGTTTTGGGTTTTTGCGGAATACGCCGTGCCGGACCTATGGCATTTAATATCAGAATCGTTAATTGATTATGCGAGTTGATCTCGGCGTAAAAGTGTTGCAATTAAATTTGGTGCGACATTGAAATAGCAAAGTCGAGTGCGGTTCTCAATCACGGATTGATTTGTTACACTGACCAGCAATCGCCATGAAAATGAACTAATCCCATCAGCAAACAATGTATCAATACCTTTAGCCGTGACTGTATCTACAGATATATATATATCACACTATTTTTATTATTATTATTAAATCTTGATTTCGCTTGCTACCTTAGCGAGCTACTACCGGCTGTGGCATTTCCCACTCCGCGCCAAACATGACTCGCCCAATTTGATTGTAACCGGCTTGTCTCGCTCCCAGACGCATGTCAGACGGAGCGAGAGTTGGGCGTATCAAAAGTTCTATTGCCGTTCTTTATGATTGCGTAAAGAGTGAGTAATCTGATTGAGCCTTTCTCCCAAATAAACTTTTGATTGTACTTTTTCATTACCGGCACTCAAGGCTACGATCACTTTAATTAACGCAATTGAAATCGAAAACGGAATTGAAAGGTCATTGAATTCTTGCAAGAACTTGAGTAGTTCATTAATAAATATAATTAAATAGCTATAATTCATATTTTGGCACTCTTTAATAAAAGCTGGACCTGATGATCCCACCTTTAATATCTAGAGTTTGGCAATGCTTTACTAGAGGTTGTCCTATCAAATATTCCTTAAAATTGAGAAACGACCCTAGACGAAATTCTTTCCAATTACTGCGCGACCTGCTTAGCGTTACATCATCAAATTGCAAACCGTTTAGTCACTTCACACCTATTTACATTAGGCCAACAAACGTGTGCTTGTGTCTGTTTGTGTGTATGTGTGTGTGCTCATTGATGGCATGATTGAGCACTTATTCCACAAGTCGAATATCGAGCGAGGCAAAAGCTGCAAGCCGAAAGCTCAGCCATTACAAGCCCAGAGTCGTAGGCATGGCTCCGGCACTTGCTGTTTGTATTGGTGAATGGCCAGCTTTCGTCCGATTATATTTCTAGTTTTTAGGTCATTGCAGTGGACAGCTGCTGAGAAGGGCGTCTGTGTTTGTATGTGTGTGTGTGTCAAGTGCAATGCGGGCATCGATCAAGCTGTCTTTATTGGGTTACTTACATGATTCGACTCAACACCCGGCTTTGGCTTCGACTCAGACTCCCCGGTTCCCCAGCTCCCCAGCTCCCCAGTTCCCCGGTTCCCCGGCTACCCGGCTACAACTCTGGTCCCACAGCCCTCAAAGTCTAGTTACTTGCCTAAGTCTTTTGTCTGCCGGCTGTTTCGTGCGGTTGTCCGTCATCCATTCATGTTCGCCACATGGGTGTGTCTCGTGGGTGCAAATCACCAAATCGGTCGAGCGCCAACCCGTTTGGTAAATTTCAAGAAACCAAAACCGTACAATGAGCGCCATGCAAATGAATTCAAACTCAAATTATATCTATAAGACTTACCAAAAAGTGAAAGAAAGGCCCGAAACAATGGAGTTTGAAGCCCAATTGATGTGGCCCTGGTGGCCACCACCAAATTCGTCTATAAATACAAATGCTGTGGATGCTCAATTACTATTCACAGCACAGACTTCGACAGCGGGAGTACATCCATTTCACAGCTCTGCTCCAATCTTCGCACCTCATAATCTCAGTGAAATGGCTTTCAAGGTGAGCGCGTAATCCCTCTCCGCAGAGTCCTTCCCTGTGCTCAATTTCTCTTTTCTTCAGTTCGTAGCCTTGGTCTCGCTCGTCGCAGCCGTATCAGCTGGCCTCATACCCGTGGAGCACCACGAGCAGCCACAGCTTTACCACACCGGAGTGCCACAGCCGCAGCATGTGATCTACCAAAAGCCACATGACATCCACGCCCACGCCCACGCTCATGAGATCTATCCTGATGATCCCCATCCCAAGTACAATTTCGCCTACGACGTGCAGGACGCTGTCTCCGGCGACTCCAAAAGCCAGGTTGAGTCCCGTGACGGCGACGTGGTGCAGGGAGAGTATTCCTTGGACGATGCCGACGGCTACCGTCGCACCGTGAAGTACACCGCCGACTCCGTCAACGGCTTCAATGCTGTCGTTCATCGCGAGCCCCTGGGCCACATTCATCACAAACTGATCGCCTCTGCCTCAGCTGCACCCGCTCAATATCATCAGTCGGCTGTGCTGAAGGCTCCTGTGGCTTACGCTGCGCCCACTTACGCTGCGCCCACTTATGCTGCTCCCACTTACAACGTGCACCACGAACACGAGCCTCAGCAACAATTGCAGCACCACCAGCAACAGCACCAGGAACACTATGCCACCTACGAGTCGGCGGCTCCAGCCAGCCATGCTGCTCAGGATTATTATCATCACTAGAGCTGTGACGCGCGACGACGGAAGTATTATTGCATCCTCCATTCCAAATTCCCAATTTCCATTACCCAGCATTCTTAGATCCCTAAGCTCTGTTAAATAGTTCTATTGTAATAAATCGTTATATGCATATTAACTCTGAGCACAAAGCTGTTTATTATCCATTTTGTTGTTGTTAAGATATCGAATTTGACTGACATGGATTAAAAACTTACATAATAATATAACAAAAGTCAAAGGAGTGCGTTAAAATATTATTTTACAGTATCAAATAGGGTATACTAATATTTATTGCACATATTTAGGTTGTTCCACAGAGTCGAAACCTTTAACAAGTTTTTATTGACTTTCTTAGAAAAAACTTTGGCTAAACGGAAAATTGGAAATTTATCCTTTTTTCTTGCTTTTCTTACTATAGCAATTAAAGGTGGAGAGCCATTAATAGTATCGATAGTTAAGAACCATAATAGTGGCGATAGATATTGAAGAACAATCGATAGTGACTATAGTGAATATCGATAATCAACGATTTAGTCTCCAGATAAACAGCAAGAGAAGCCGTTATATATTGTTTGAAAGAAAAGCCGCTCACATTATTCATATATTTACTTATTTGGGTGGTATCATAAATAAAATAGAGCATTACAAATCATTCCCAAATTGAATTAATATAGAATGAAATAGTAGAGTGGTTGTATTTTCTGACTTCAAGATCAAGCAGAGCAGAGCACAGTCTCGTGTGTACATATACGCGATGTGTAATTTATGTATATAGTTTAGCTCTATATTGCTCGATCTACATCAGCTTTTTCGCGCATGAGCCAACCGGTTTTGGCATGCCAAAAAGTATCCGGTAGCAACAAAGACAGACTTTTATTTCTATTTTTATTTTTTTGCAATTGTAATGTCGCGCACACAAATTGAATGTCAAATAGCCGCGGCCCGCGGGCAATACTCTTGCTCGATGGCTGGGTAGATCAGAGCCCGGAACCTCGACGGCGAATGCGTCCGTGAGCATGAGCAATGCTATGTCCAATTGCAAGTCAAGACCCAATTTGCTCCACATTACCTGCACTCCATAGTCAGCCTAGGCCGGCCCGGTTCAACTTGACTCGCCCTTTCGCTCCTCTTTGTTTTCGCTGAGCTTTTGTAATTTGCTTCACAATAATGAGCCGCAGCAGAAACAGACAGCCTCGGCGTATGCACTTGCCCCGTGAGATTGCTCTATATAAGCGGAGGTCTGCTCCACTTCTAATCATACTGCAGACTTAGCCCCATCCGACAGCACACGCTTTCAGACCCACTCAAACCACATTAAAATGGCATTCAAGGTATGCCCCCCTCACTGAGCCAAAATATTAGCTAATGCATATACACTGAATCCATTCCAGTTTTTCGCCCTCTTCGCCCTGGTCGCCGTCGCCAGCGCTAGTATCCTACCCGCCGCCCAGGTCTACCATGCGGCACCCGCCGTGGCCACCTACGCCGCCCCTGCTGCCGTCGTCAAGACGATTGCGCCTGTGGCCCAACACGTTATCACGAAGGCTGCCGAGGAGTACGACCCCCATCCCCAGTACAAGTACGCCTACGATGTGCACGATTCCCTCTCCGGCGACTCCAAGAGCCAGGTGGAGGAGCGCGATGGCGATGTGGTCCGCGGCGAGTACTCGCTGGTGGATGCCGATGGTTACAAGCGCACCGTCCAGTACACCGCCGATCCCATCAACGGCTTCAATGCTGTGGTCAACCGCGAACCCCTCGTCAAGGCTGTGAAGACCATTGCCGCTGCTCCAGTGGTTGCCCACTATGCTGCTCCTGCTGTGGTCAAGACTGTCGCCCCCGCTTACCACACCTATGCCGCCCCTGCTCCAGTCGCCCACTATGGCCCGGCGGTTGCCTACCATCATTAAGTGTGTTAATTCTACCGCAGATCTGTTATGTCTTAAAGTAAATGAATAAATTGTTATAGATAATATGAAATCATAGAAATTTGTCAACTTAGAATTGATTAGGTATTTTCAGTATTAATCATTCAGTAGCTTTAGTTTCAATTCACCGCAGCTAACACGTCCCTACCTTAGACTGTGCCCAATATGATAACCTCGAGGTGGGTCAGTTTGTTACCGGCTCCTTATTATTATTATTTGGAACTCGTTAAATAAAACTATTTGTACTCATTCACCATTTATATCCATTTATACTCATGCAATATGTGCAATGTCTGTCCTACTGTCCGTCCGTCTGTTCGTCTCTATGCACGCAAACTATTTTGTCACTACTAAAAAATTGGTAAAACAGAAGATATTCGAAATGTAACGTCTAAGTTATGGTTTACTTTTACTATTGATGTACCAAACACCATATATGTATGTTCATAAGGATGAAGCAAATTTTGGATTTGGCAGCGCTTAGACCACGTCTGAGCGATATACAATTGGCTGCGTCTGAATAATTCTTGTATTTTTCATAGGAATTTAAGACAGGTGTTTCACATAATCGGCGAATGGGAGATATTTGCAGAACAAATTTGAAATTAACTATTTCTGTTTGTTTTCAATTTATCTATAACAATTTATTCATTTAATATAACAGATCTGGGATACAATTAACACATTTAATGATGGTAGGCAACAGCCGGGCCATAGTGGGCGACTGGAGCAGGGGCGGCATAGGTGTGGTAAGCGGGGGCGACAGTCTTGACGACAGCAGGGGCAGCATAGTGGGCAACCACTGGAGCAGCGGCAATGGTCTTCACAGCCTTGACGAGGGGTTCGCGGTTGACCACAGCATTGAAGCCGTTGATGGGATCGGCGGTGTACTGGACGGTGCGCTTGTAACCATCGGCATCCACCAGCGAGTACTCGCCGCGGACCACATCGCCATCGCGCTCCTCCACCTGGCTCTTGGAGTCGCCGGAGAGGGAATCGTGCACATCGTAGGCGTACTTGTACTGGGGATGGGGGTCGTACTCCTCGGCAGCCTTCGTGATAACGTGTTGGGCCACAGGCGCAATCGTCTTGACGACAGCAGCAGGGGCGGCGTAGGTGGCCACGGCGGGTGCCGCATGGTAGACCTGGGCGGCGGGCAGGATACCAGCGCTGGCGACGGCGACCAGGGCGAAGAGGGCGATAAACTGATTGAAGAAAATGGTAACAATTGCAAATGTGTCCTAAGTGAATTAAATCTCTGTTGGGCACATACCTTAAAGGCCATTGCGTCTGAGTTGAGTTGAGTTGCTGCTGAGGGCTGAATGCGATTTGAACTGTGATACCTGCTGCTGTTGACGGCGGGCTTTTATATGGAGCAGCCCATAAACAACATGCCGAATCTCTGAATGCCTTTTCGGGGCCGCAGTCGCGTAATTAGTGCAATTCATTTATGCTAAATGTGTATGGAAAATGTTACACTAACAGTGAATACGCTGCGCACTAATACAGGCACACTCATATGCACACATATGCATGTGTATGTGCAATGTGTGTTGTCATCTAACTAAATTCCATTTGTTTGGGGTGCCAAAACTGGTTTTCGAGCTGAAGCTGCACAAAGATGCAAAAGTTTATAAAAATAGAAAAATATTTAGAAATGTGCAATCCATGAGGGATTGACATACTTAAAATGTTATAAACAACAGTTATTACATGAAATTATGCATATAACATTTAACTAAATTATACATACATATATATGTATATGGATATAAATGAAAAATGGGAAACATGGAAATTAAAAACTCAATCTATAGTAAAATATCGTATGTAATTAGGTAGCTATTGAATATTTGTATACTCTGAACATATTTGGTCTGTGTAAAGTACGGGCTGGAAATATAATTTCGGGTGGGTGCGGGTGGTGGTGGGCTCGGCCGCTCAACCCGCTTTAGTCTGTTGAATATTTAAATATTTTCTTATCTAAACTTCTTGTAGTCAATCGATATTCTTCTGTTATCAACTGTCTCCATTGCAGTTGCCAACTAACACTAAACGTGACTTCAAAGTCTGTTTTGAAAAAGTTTTTAAGCAATTTAAATTCTTAATTTAATTTGTGACAGAAATAAGTTTATTCGTATTTCAATATTGAAAAGTATTCAAAATTTATAGGATTTTGTTTTCTAGTATATATACATTGTGGCACGATAGAAACTAAAAGGAAATGTTATGGTACTATAAAATAACGAATCCACTTTCTGCTGAGTTGTCAAACAAGGACATGGCATTTACTACCCAAAAACTAAATACAACAAATATTGTTTAATATGCTAAATATTCAGAACTTTATCATAAATCGAGTAAATCGCTGAAGATACAATTAAAAATTAGGAGTTGAAATTTTGTATTATGCAAGAAAGTATTTTTGATGTTCAACAAAATAAAAAACATAACTTATATCCAAAAATTAACCAAATCGCAGTAGCTAATATTAATTTTGCTTAATCGCTTAAAAATTGTCATCTGGAAATGAGCCGTCAAAAATATATACGCTTTATGATATGAAAAACTAAAAAAAAAAAAAAAAAAAAAAAAACAAGTAAGAAAGCTCTAGTCGAGAGTGCCCGACTACGAGATCCCCTGAACCCTTCGAGCAATAGCTGTTTCAATCATTTTTCGCGTATTTCTGCTTACACAAGACACACACACGCACACACACACACACACACGCTTACACACACAGGCATATACTCACACATGATACGCACACACACACACACACACACGCTTACACACACAGGCATATACTCACACATGATACGCACACACACACACACACACGCGCACACACAGAGATACGCACGCACCTATAAACACGCATTGGCTGCAGTGGTGGCTTACTAAGGGAACTTAATTGTTCAATAACTTTTCTTGTGGATGTAGTTTCTTCATGAAACTTTTATATTATGATTATATCATATATATGTATGTATTTGTTAAAGCACAAGTCTCTAGTACTTGAAATACGCCTTTTACAAATGTGAGGGTGAGGGGGTGAATTAGGGGTCGGGGGTAAATTTTGACAAAAATCGAAATTGTATAAAATGCATATAAGTATACATATTAAATTTGAACTCTAGCTTAAAAGATGTAGGAGATATAAATTTATTACTGGTTTTCGATAATGTTTTTAATCGATAACAAAATACCGGGGCAATCTATCGATATATAAAGTATATCTTCTGAGATCGACGCGTTCAAACATACGGAAGACGGACGGACCGACAGACGGACAGGGCTAAATCAACTCAGCTCGTCGCCCTGATCAAGAATATATATACTTTATGGGGTCTGCCACGCCTCCTTCAGCCTGTTACATACATTTAACAAAACCATTATACCCTGATTTCCCATTGAAAATGGGTTCAGGGTATAAAAACTTGTAAGAGTGGAATATTATGGCACAAGACCTTTTTATTCAAAATAAAGTTTCCCATATAAAAATATAAAAATAAATAAATCAGGTAATCCAGCCACGTAAATTGATTTGCCTACTATTGTCAAGTACATTGAAAGATGGAAAATAGTGGTTGATCTGAATGCATGTATACATATGTATGTATTTGTCAAAACTATATCGAAATTATTTCATGTTTGTTTGCATGAATTATGAACAATTATTGTTAATATAGATACGATGACGATATAGAATGAAAGCATAAGTATTCAACCCAAAATTCTTGAGAAACAATTTGTAATTTATTTAATATGTTATAAATCGAAATTCATATCACTTATCGAGTCGATTCGCATATTTTACGAAATCCAATATTGATTTCGATTATTCGCACACCATCAATTTCGAATGCACATTATGTGTGCAATAACTGTAAACAGCGGGAGATACATACATATAACTGAAGAGCACAAATATCTATATACCTATATATTTATTTATAAATAATATGCACTATGGGTTTTCAATTCAAGATTCGCATTTGAACGGTTGTCCGACTTGGAGAACCGAAGAACGTACGTGACTGTTATACGTGACGAGCTCAGGCTGCAGCCACCTCCGATGCGGTGCCAAAAACGAATTCCAATTAGGTGTGACCAATGTCATCGGATTGACTATATAACCTTACGTCCACCGTTTGGCCAGACATTCAGTGTTTAGCTTCTGCTTCCAACAGCACCGAGTAATCCTCCAAGCAATTCCATAAGAAATGGCTTACAAGGTACAGCTGAGAGATCCATAGATGATGCCAGGATACTTATCTAATCTATCCACAGATCGCTTTCGCATTGGCTATGCTCGGCGTGGCGCAGGCGGCGGTGCTGAGGACTGCGGCCCCCGTTGCAGTGGCGCCCGCCCCCGTTCTGGCCAAGACCGTTGAGCTGGAGGAGATCGATCCGCATCCACAGTACTCGTACAGCTACGACGTGCAGGACAACCTGTCCGGCGATTCCAAGGGACATGTGGAGGAGCGCGATGGGGATGTGGTGCGTGGCGAATACTCTCTGATCGACGCCGATGGCTTCAAGCGCACCGTCACCTACACCGCCGATTCTATCAATGGCTTCAACGCCGTCGTTCGCCGTGAACCTATCGTTGCCGTGGCCGAGCCCGTGGTAAAGGCTGCTCCCGTAGCTGTTGCCGCTCCCCTCGTCCGCTCTGCTCCCGTTGCTGTTGCTGCTCCCCTCGTCCGCTCTGCTCCCGTCGCTGTCGCCGCTCCCCTCGTCCGCTCTGCTCCCGTTGCTGTTGCTGCTCCCCTCGTCCGCTCTGCCCCCCTGGCAGTAGCAGCCCCTCTGAGATACACGGCGCCAGCCTATACCGTGCGGAACTTGTAATCCGACCCGATTCCCCTTGTTAACTAATCCCTCTTTTATGGTTATGCAATAAATTGTGATTTTTTTCTTACATAAAAGATTGTTCCTTCTTGAATGGGAATCTTGGCAGGGAGGCTGATCGAGAACGAAATACAACTATAGATCAACTAATACATATATAAATAAAAAGATTATAATTTTTCGACTATCAAATTATTATTCTGGGGCGTTAAGCTCTATAAAGGAAAAGTATTTGTCAAGCCATATGCAGCCGTATCGGCCAAGCAATCAAGCATTAAATAATATAAATGTATATACTTATGCATTTAATTCGATATCGCCCTCAAGGTGAAATTGTGAAAGCGACAAAGACACGAATTAGCTCGCGGTCAAACGGCAGCAATTGATAGAGGTGTGGTTGTGTGTCTGTGTGCATGTGTGTCTGTGTGGTTGTGTGGTTGTGCGGCTGCGGATTGGAGACCACTTACCTGTGGCACTAATCTGCACATATTTACATGTCGAAGCTGTTGCATAAATATGTGTTATGTGTGTGTACTATATCTATCTTTATTCGTAATTGGCTCGCTCGCAGTCGAAATATCAACGAAAAATAAATAAGAGTGACAAAAGTATGTTGGGCAAAAGCGAACAAAATAAATGAAATGAAATAAAATAAAATAAAAATATAATTATCATTCCAATTTCAGCTAGCCTCAGCCGGAGTATAAAACCGAGCGTTGGCCAGTCTGCAAATCATTCCACAGCTTCTCCGCTTTCGCATCACTGTTTGGATATTCGCCAAGCTCCCCACGCCCACTCACCATGGCCTTCCAGGTAAGATCAGTCAATGCACAGCCAAGTCCGTGAATACTTCATTCGTATGTTCTTCTGATTCAGTACCTTGCCATCCTTGCGCTCGTTGCCGCCGCCAGCGCCGGAGTTCTGCCAGCCCAGCAGCTCTACCATGCTGCACCTGCTCCAGCTGTGGCCTATGCTCATGCCCCAGTGGCAGTCGCCCATGCGCAGCCCGTTCTGGCCAAGCACGACGATGAGTACGACCCCCATCCCCAGTACAAATTCGCCTACGATGTGCAGGACGCCCTCTCCGGCGACTCCAAGAGCCAGGTGGAGGAGCGCGATGGCGATGTGGTCCGCGGCGAGTACTCGCTGGTGGATTCCGATGGCTACAAGCGCACTGTCCAGTACACCTCTGACCCAGAGAACGGCTTCAACGCTGTGGTCAACCGTGTGCCCATCGACCACGTGAAGGTGGTCAAGGCCGTCGCTGCCCCAGCACCTCTGCCCGTTGCCTATCACCACTAGATGGATATCCGTTTCTGTCTAATGCCATGTAAATGTCCTTAAATTGAATAAATTGTTATATATTTCTAAGCTTCTATAAATCACGACTCTTAACTGTCTCGCTTAATAGACATAATGGGGATAATAATGAGTCCACATAAGAAAATTTTTTATCCCAGCAATATACATATATATATATTTAGATTTGTTTTCATCTTTGCATACATAAATCAAGATTGAAGACAAGGCTAACTAAATTTACGTTTAATATACTCTTCACAGATATATGGCTATTACATACCTTCTACGCGTGCGCAGATCCAATGATCGTATCAGATTAATCAGTTATTATTCAATTGACTCTCGCACTCATGCCCATACTCATACTCATTCATTTCGATCGTCAAGTTGCATAATCACGCGCCAGCACCAATTTGCATCGCAATTATGACTAAGCACAGCGAGAGTCGATAGCTCTACAACAGTGAGTCCCGCAATCCATACTTTAAATCAATTTCCGAGAGAGGCGTCCCACTCATTACAATCTGCTTCTGCCGCTAACTTTTACGGCAATCAGCGCAGGTCGGAGCGGACGTATTGAATGTATCGCTCTATGTAGTCCGAAGTGTCTTCAGATGTAATCCACTTGCAGTCGCCACACTCTAGCTGTGACGCCTCAACAAGTTAAGGTCAGAGTTTTTAGGGACTTTCACCAATGTGTTTCAGGATGATTTACGCGGCTTCGTTGTCTTGAATGGCAGCCATTGTCTTATCGTTCGGATGTCAGCCTACATAAACGGCCAGGGTTCGGCTTTTCCATAACATCTGTTCCTTACACGCCCAAATATGCCAAGGCATGCGAATCGGCGTCTGCTCGTGGCTGGGGCTCTTTGTCTTCCACCTTCGGCTGGGGACAGGTGAGCAGCGACAACGAGTGTTAAGGTCAAAGTCAGGTTTTATGGTTAATTACCTCGTGAGCAGCGCTTGCAACCGCTTCCAATGGCATATTCGTGCCTTGCGCCCGTTCCCATGAAGTACGCGTACGAGTACCTACTGCAGTAGCTGTACCGATGGCCTAACAGTGGCTACAAAAACACAAAAACACAACGGAATACCTGGCAATTCCATTCCAATTCCAATTACAGTCGTGCAAGGTGGCTTCGTGTAACTGGCCACCAAAAAAGCCACAAGGCGATTATAAAAATGTGCCTAAAGCGTGTTTGTACTGCCAAAAAATGTGAATTCCAATCAATCCAATTGCTAATCTGCAAGCCTGAAAATCAAAACAAATCCAAATACACTCTAGCTAGACGGAAAGATACAATGTTGAATAAATGTTGAATAATGTTGAATAAATTTCTTTATAAATGAATTAAATATTATATATTTTGTTTGGCCCTGCAGAGTTCATACAGTCAAAAGAGTTACAGAGAGGACTCTTCAGAGAAAGAGATAAATAATATGAGAGTCTAGGCTAAGAAACACAACATATTGATGCTATCTCTCGAGTAAATTTATGAACCCAACAATAGTCAAATATATAAATATATAGAAATGTGTATAAATTGTTGTACTTTATGGGGTCATTGCCTTGATGAGCTGCCTTGAATTACACTTTTAATGGTATGTTTAGGATTATTCAGTGGTGAATACAACTTGTGAATATATCAACATAACGTAATCAATGTACGTCCACCTGGAGACCTACTCGAATCACTTGGAATGCTTTTACACTCCATTCTTCGTACAGAGAATACATATAAATTATTAGATAACATGTACATCCACAACTCCGCAGCTCTGTAAACAAATCTATGTAAGCATATATAAAGAGATTCTGTTACTCTACAGAGTTAATTATTATTCTGGATTTCAAAACATTTTATATCGCAAAGGGGATAACTCAAATTACGCAATTCACCCTTATTTATAGCTTCATTCAACTGTTTGAGTTTAGTTTACAAGCATTATCAATTAACATTACTGTTAAAACCCCTTTCCGGTGTACTTTTTAAGCCTAAACACTGATTTGCCGCATACTCGGCCTATTTCAACTGAATTTTTTGTCATCTCACGTAGTCGTACCCGTGATTCATTTATATGTATGTAGCTTTACACTCAACCAGCTTTGTTTTGATATTGTGTTTCTTTTCGGTTTTTTGGCTTTATTTTGTAGCTTTTGCTTTCCGTTGGTTCTTTGCTTTTAATGGCTCTTTAAAGTGGCTCCGTGTCGGCCGACCTTGATATAGACAGCTACTGAAGAGGGAAAGTAACCTTAGTTTCGACATGTAATAGTTTTTAATTTCTTTTGGGATTTTTCCATACTCAAATCCATTGTGATTAATTGCACCTTATAAATATCTAACTGTACATAGGTATATACAAATCAATATATAGTTTCTCAGTTTATGAGCTCTAAGTTTTTAAAGTTGATTTATATCGTCAAAATCTAAAACGTAATATAGATCAACAAGTTTATTTCACTTTATCAAAGAACAAAGAATATTTTATTAAAATGATTTTGAACACATTTTATTTTATTTTATTTAAAAATATTCTGGAAACATTTCGAGTCTCCAGCAGAGACGCTCCTGCAAACAGTCACATCGGCTTATGAACTTATTAAATGAAACTAGGAAATGGTTCTATGACATCACATTCTTTATTCAATAACAACTAACGGCAATTATCAGGTCGGACAGCGCCTATTTGGAGACCTAATAGGCGTACGAGATAAGAGGCGAAGCGTACTGCGTCTTGACGATAGCTGGGCCAGCGGCGATCAACGGAGCTGCCTTGACAATGGGAGCCGGAGCAGCGGCGTAGGCCAAGGGAGCTGGGGCTGCCACAACGGGAGCAGCGCGAACGACTGGAGCGGGGGCAGCGACAACGGGAGCGGCGGCGACCAGTGGCTCGCGACGCACCACAGCATTGAAGCCGTTGACCGGGTCGGCGGTGTAGTCCACAATGCGACGGTAGCCATCGGCATCATTCAGCGAGTACTGGCCCTGGACGATGTCGCCGTCACGGGTCTCCACCTGGGTCTTGGAGTCGCCAGAGATCGCATCCTTAACGTCATATCCGTAGGTGTACTGGGGATGGGGGTCGTACTCCTCCACCTGGGCAACGGCGGCCAAGGGCGCGGCTACGGGCACGACTCCAGCGCTGGCGACAGCGATGCAGGCGGCGAAGAGAATGGTGAACTGCAAGTAGATGAAGCACACACACACATACACACAAACACGATTTAGATACACAGCTTTTCACATAATCCTGGAGCTGGCTTACTTTGAATGCCATTGTTTTGGGGTTTGGTTGGACGAATGCTGCTCTAGATACCGAACTTGGCTGTGAACTGATTTGAACGATGGCCAACTAGGGGCTTTTATACCGCGCCGCGAGGCCCGCCTGGTGTGCCCGCATTCGCAACCAAATGAGTGCACTTGCGTCACAAAACGCCGGCGACAATACCAAAATACAAAGCGACCATAACTAAAGCTCAGCGACGAGCAAGACTAGAAGCCAAGTAGGTGCTGCAGCCGCTGCTACTGGTGGAGGAGGAGCATTCGCTCGACGGTCGACGGTCGATGGTCGACGGCAGACGGCAGACGGTAGACGATAGACGGGCGAGACGGAGAGCGGGCGTACTATCGTACCGCCAAGCACAATGTTAGCCAAGGCTAAGCGTACAAGTGACAAAAACAACAGCAGCAATGACGACAACAACAACAACAACAACAACAACGGCAACAGCAACCATGCCATAAAGGCATAATGCCTTCTTGATTGAATTGGACGCACTCGAGCCGAATTAATATTGGTCTCAGACACTCAGAAGTCGCATACCAGCCACTAAATCGATGAGATCGCTCATTTGTTTTCGCTTTCGAAAGGCACACACAGGCGCACAGCTCACTTAGTGCCATTATGAATAATATGGTATGCAGCGCATGCGCAAATGCATAACAACGGTTTTTCAAATTGACTGCCATGCACTTGTCCACACACACACACACATACACACTAACACAGACGCACATGTGGCACCTTTTGTTGTCGCCCCCTCCCCTGCCTTGCGCCTGATCAGACGTGACCTTAAAAATTTGTTACGTTTCATTTGAGCTTTAATTGGATTTCGCATGCTCGCGTTTATTTCTCCTTTTTTGTCGCCAACCAAACTTCCTATACGAAGTACAAAAGTATGTTCGTTTTGTTTATTTACTTAACGCTCATTAGAGTTCTTATTTTGTTTACAGTTTTGTTCAATGTGATAGGAAGTATTGCAGAACATAAATGCTGAATAAATATTACAATGTAATTGCTAGAGTTACAAGTAAATAAGCAAAGGCTCTCTGCGGGGGAGGATGATATATGTGGTGATATACCTTGAATCTCAAATGATATGCGCTCTTTCAAAGTATGCATTTTAGATTTGTACGAAAAGAACTGCGATTTAATCAAGTTATGACACCTACAATCAAATCAAAAATGTGCGGATTAGAATTTACGTATGGAGAAAATGACTAATAACTGTTGCTTAATCGATTTCAATTATATTTAGAGTATGCGTTGAAATTCCATTTCTCAATGGATTTCGATCGACTTTCTGTTTCTCTTCTTCTGTCGGACCTACTCTCTCTCTCTCTCACTCTCTCTATATATTATTATATCTCTCTCTGTTTCAAGTTTCGGGGGTTTACCTTTATCTGTTTCATTTCGTATCCTGCCTCTGTCTCTCTCGCTCTCTGTTTCTTTTTCGGTTTCTGTTTCTTTACCTCTCTCTTTTCCATTGTCTGTCTCGCCTCTCTCACTCTCTATCTCTCCATCTCTCTCTGCTCTTCTGTCATTATCTAGCCTCTGGGTTTCTTTTCTCTTGTTACGGTTTTAACACCGGACAAAGTCTCTTTCATCCTCTTTCGTTAGCTCGAGTGCTCAAATATGTACATACATATACATATACATATACATATACATATACATATACATATACATATACATATACATATACATATACATATACATATACATATACATATACATATACATATACATAT